TATTTTCGATCCATGGTGGTTGAATCTGGGGATGTGGAACCCACAGATATGGAAAGCCAACTAGTTGATCTTCCTAAACTTATAGGCTGCATGTATTTACTACAAGGTACCCAGTATTTAGCTTTAGTTATTGTTAGTTTTATTATTACTTCTGTTTTTTAATCAAGTTGGTGCTGTTCTAAAAAGAAGAAAAAATAAAGAGGAACTCAGGAGAAAAAAGCAGGGCCCACCTCTGCGTTAAATCATTACAAAATGCTGGTTGAAACTACAAAAGAAAGGTGGATTTAAAGAATAGCCTCACCAATACCTAAGTAAAAGTTGATGGGAGGGAACAATAGCAGTTGGGAAATCCTCAGCTAATTTTTTCACATTAGTAGTTTCTGTTTTTGTAGAAAGATCAAATATTTTAACTATTTTTGAGTCTTCTCCTTAAAGATACACATTGGTCATTTTAAATAGTTATTAACTTTTCTCAAACACAAGGGAGTAACATACATTTTCTCATTTAAAAAAAAAATGGTTCAAAAAAAAAAGGTTCAAAAAGCCAACTGATCAGATTTGTTTAACAAGAACATAATTGAATTTTTTGCTTTTTACATCAGGACGTTGCTGCAAAAATGCTGCATGATTTAATTACCTTCCAGTCATTCTTCCATATTCATAAATTACTTGATTAAATCGCTATGAAGTGAAAGTTTGAGCTGCATTAACCAAGTTTTTTTCTTTTTTTTACATTTTATATTTCAGCTTCTCCACAGATGATCATTCAAATTGGTAATTAAAAAATAAACAAACTCACTATTTTAATCTGTTAAGAAATCATATAAATGTCAAACTCTTTTAAAAGACTTGATAAAGACACTTTATTTGAATTGGCGGTGATCTTCCTTGTCTAAAATATATTCTAAGATCCTGCCATGTAGACATTAATAACAACTTCCAAAATCAAAGATGAAAGTGAGAAGAAGGCCAAAGGCCTTGCACACAATTCAGTGAATTTTGTTGTAGGACAGATAATTGCAAGGATGTATAGGTCTTGTTAACTTTCAGCTCAGATTTTGTTTTGATACATAGGTTTTGTGCCAAAATAAATATCCCTTAAATTAAATCAGCCAAATTATTCACAGAATTGTTTTATAATGCATGCAAAACTTGGTCACTGCTTCATATTTTTCAACGTATTTAACAAGATTTTTTTTTCTTTTTTTCATGATATCTTGGTAGATTTTAACTCAGTCTCTAAAATTACTGTCACTAAAATATGGAAGCCTTCAAAAGTAATCTCAGGGCCTTTTAAAGCAAGTCTAGATATCTAATACTTTCCTCTTTTTTTTTTATGTAGGTTCATTATTGGATCAAAGACTGATGCTGAGAGGTAAAAATAGTTGCATCTTTATTTTTGATCTGGATGGGTATGATCAACTTCACTCTTACAGGGTAGAGAGCATTCCATTAGGAATCAAAGCTTTGATTTTAATTATGCTTTACTAGGATCTTTTACTAGAAATAGGAAAATAACAATTAAAAGAATGTTTAAAGTAAAGCTTTATTTTAAATAAGAAAACTTAGATGTATTTACGATAGCTAAAGAAAATGATTTCTAGGTTGTACTTTGATCAGAATATAAGTGAAAGTTGGGATAATTCTTTTGGCTGTTTATTGGTGAAATAATCACTGTAATTTCTGCTTTAGAGACAAGATACTGGAAGTATATCTTTAGGTTGTTAGCAAAACGTTTTCAGCACTAGCTTGTTGTTTAAAAAGATTAGAAAAATGTGCTTTTAACAAAGATAAGTTGTCTAAATTTTTCTGTTAGTTTTGATAGAACTTTTTTCATTAACAGTTATGCATTTCCTGTGTAATAAATTTGTGCTTAAAACAGTTAGCTAATCCATACCTGTATTCCGCCTCATATTCCAGAGTAGTCAATCAGTACCAGGAATTGGTCCAGAATGAAGCCAAATGTCCAGTGAAGATGTCACATAGCTCCAGTGGCTCCGCCAGCTTGAGTCAGCCTTCTCCAGGGAAAGAAGCAGAAGTGTGTTCGGTTAACTTTTTTTGTGCTCTTACTTTTTTCTGCCTAATTGTTTCTCAAGGAATCTGAGAAATGTTAAGTCTATTTTTTGAGGGATAGAGGCATTGTTTAGTTTTGTTTTTACTTTTAACTTTGATTTTCTTTTTATTATTTAACTTTTTATAATGGAAATTTTCAAAGTACAGAGAGGTAGAGCAAAAAGTGTAATGAACATCTGTGTATACTGATCACCCACCTGGCTTCAACAGTTAGTTTTTCTGGAGAAGATATAAGAGTGAAGCTTTGCTGTACTCTTACTCCTCTGCTCTTCCTCAAACTCTTTCTCTCCACCTTATTACTCAGAAGTTTTTCCTTCATCCTTTGTGTATTTTATGGATCTTCTTATGAAAAATTACATTCTTTTGAAACATCTGTAATAACCAATTTATAACCATTTAGAGTACTTTGCAGTTTTAAACTCTGTTGTCATGTAGGAGTTGTAATGCTATTAATCTGACCTTAACTTTAATGAGTATACTTAATGTCACTATCTCTCAGCAGCCTGAGACCGTGTCAGTTCAGCCTTCAGTACTGGGGAAGGGAGTGAAGCATAGACCTCCACCCATCAAACTTCCCTCGGGCTCAGGAAGTAGTTCCTCAGGTATTACAGTCCAGAGTTTTCTGTAGTCTAGAGTAAGAACCAACACATGAATGTAATCTGTTTACGCATATTTTGATTTACTCAGAATTTTGAATTGTAAATCTAGGAAATATCATTTGTATTCCTCTTCTAGGTAACTATTTCACACCACAGCAGGCCAGCAGCTTTCTTAAATCTCCGACTCCTCCTCCTACTTCTAAGCCACCAAGTCTTTCTCGGAAGTCATCTGTGGACCTCAGTCAAGTGAGCATGCTCTCTCCAGCTGCCCTGTCACCTGCCAGTTCATCACAAAGTGAGTCATAACTTAAATTCTTCATTAACTCTTCATAAACTTTCGCATTAGTGTTCCTTAAGACGACTCTTTTTGACCAGTGAAATATGAATGTACTGTCTACCCAAAATGTAAAAGTTTTGAAAACCTTCAGGCAGATCTCTTGTTGACTGTATGTATTATGTGTTTATTGTAATTGTATTTGTTTTTCTGTATGTATGCACCTTGTGTATACCTTTCTTATAGACTTGCAACCTACACATCTCCTAAAAAATATAACCTGGTAGTTAAATGTGGCAGTAAGACTCCAAATTATTTTTTAATCCAGTGTGCCTTAGGACCATTTTACATTTTATGTATACTATGCAGCTGATGTGGAAAAAAAAATGCCGTAAGAGTTGTTGCTGCAGTTCTATCTTTATAGATACCAGAAGCCAACTAGTTCCAAGGTGGTGATACAATAAATTGAAAACTGACTCTTCAGTAATACCCCTTCACTTTTACAAATTGTTGTCAGTTACTAAAATGTGGGATTATCATAAAGCATTATTCTGAAGATACAAAAATGTAACTTTTACTACTGAATTTTTTTTTTTTACATCAAGAAAAGTTATTCAAGAATTCTAGCTTTAGTTTGGGAGAATTTCTTCAAATTAGTAATTATCTGAGCTATTTAGGTACCAACCTAGAAAAAAGTATTCCAGTTTTTTAGATTTTTTTTTTATGGCTAACTAGTGTGTGCTGAAAGTTTTAGTACACTGCACAGTGACAGGGTGGTCTTCGCATTAGATGTAAACATCTTCATCTTGATAGCTCAAAAGGTGTAATTTTTCTGCCTTCTTGTTTTGCACAAAGAAAAATTTATAAATTTCCTGAAAGTCTTATTCACACTTCTTATGTTGTGGGTCTGGATTATGTTAATCTACTGCACACAGTTGTTACTTTAAGTAAGGGTTGAGTGACAGCTTCTGGACATTCACATTTCTTTCCTTTCTTTCTGCAGGACATGAAAGCTAAAAAAGAAAACACCTCAAGAGCTTTTGGTTTTATTTTTTTGGTTTGTTTTTTGTTTTTGTTTTTTTTTAAAGTTGATAAACTGTGCATACTTCATTCACAACAGATTTTCTATACATTCTACATTTAAACAGAAGTACACAGTTACTGTTAAAGATGCAGTATTATCTATCAAATACTTGCTTTATTACTGTGTTTTGTAAAATTTGTTTGTCAGGATAAACTTGATGTGTTAGGAATTAAGTATGTATATTTAGGTGCCAAATATGATTGTTAACCATATGTAATTTATTAAATATGTTCAGAGTTTATCTCAGACTGTTACAGAAAGTAAGCAATATTTCTAAATGAAGTCCTAAGTTAGTGAAATCGTAAATAACAAAAATTAATTAGAATTCCTTTTAAACTTTTTAGGCCAAAGGTAGCCTGTAGGAAACTAACTTTTAAATGGGTGTTGTGGTAGAATACAAATGTATATTTTTACTGTTACTGTAATAGCATCTCTGATGGGATTTGTAGGTGATATACTGCATCCTTAATTGTAATTGAGTGTAGCAACACTCATGTATCATGTGTAGAATTAACACTTGCAGTTAACTGCTTAAAAAAATGGAACAAATTGTCAGTGCTAAATAAGATTCCATTAACCTTATTTTAAAAAGGACTGGCCATTTATAACAAACTAGCAATTTTTATTTTTCTCAATGAGCAGGATCTGGAACTCCTAAGCCATCTACTCCTACACCAACCCCTTCATCGACCCCACACCCTCCTGATGCTCAGAGCTCAACTCCTATTACCCCTTCAACTGCCCCTACTCCCCAAGATTCAGGCTTCACCCCTCAGCCCACTTTGTTAACTCAGTTTGCTCAGCAGCAAAAGTCTCTGAGCCAGGCAATGCCTGTAACGACCATTCCTCTTTCCACCATGGTAACATCTATAACTACAGGAAGCACGGCCACCCAGGTCATGGCAAACTCTGCTGGACTTAACTTCATCAATGTAGTGGGCTCTGTTTGGTAAGTTTGCATTGACACTCTGGTATGTTTTTTTTAAAGATATTCTCACGATCCTAAATAAATTCTTGTTTATGAAATTAAGAACAAATTGCATATTAGTGAAACTGGAAGAAAATAGTTTCTTTGTGGATAGAAGCTATCTCAACGAGTATGTTTTAATTTTAGGTAATCCATCTATTACATTACATCTATTTATTACTTCACCTTGACAGTAGCTTAGGTTTTCTGTTTCTCCTCTGTTAACATCTTTTAACCCACTGAGTAGTACATTACTTTTCCAAATTATATTTTAAACCTTGATAAATGTACAATACTTAGTTTTAGCCAACATTGCTGTCACTTTCTAGCATAAAAATCAAACCGAACCTCCAAGCTGACATTTAAGACAGAAATATGTGTTTGTTTCGCAGTTTCCTTTTTTAATCCAAGAAATTATGTGGCTGATTTTCCCTTTTATAAGTGCTAGTTTAATGCTTTGTCTTATTCTCCTGCAGTGGAGCTCAAGCTTTGATGAGTGGTTCCAACCCTATGCTGGGCTGTAACACTGGTGCCATAACTCCTGCAGGAATAAACCTGAGTGGCCTTCTACCCTCAGGAGGTCTGTTACCAAGTGCATTGCCCGGTGCAATGCAGGCAGCTTCTCAAGCAGGTCAGAATATTGGAAATAATAACCTCCACCAAAATTAAAGTCCATGCTAATGTAAAAATGTCATTTTTAAGGTTAATATTTAAACATTTAACATCCTTATTTTATGAAGTCTTTCAGAAATACTTCCTTTCAAAAGCTTTTAACATTCTGATGTTTAAATTGAAAGCCTTCTAGTTGTCAGCTTTTGTGGAGAAACTTGGTAAGCCTGTTAGTCTCTGGAAATGTTGTCTTTGCCTTCCAAACAGTATAGTAAAATTAACTTTGATAGTTGTCAGTGTAGTCCTATTCCAAGTAAAAGAGATGTATTTTGAAAACGTGTGCAAGAAAGGCAACATAGCGTGGTACTTAAAAGCCTCGGTTCTGGAGCCAGACTGCCTGTGTTTGAGTCCTGCTTCTGCGATTTACTGTAACCGTGTAGTCATGGCCAAGTTACCATTGTGCCTCGCTTTGCTTATAAATAAATGAGGAGTATAGTATAGTATAGTATAGTATCTCATAGTTGTGAGGATTAAATGAATAAATACAAATAAAATACTTAATATGCCTGAGACGTGATAAACGTTCAAAAATACTTACTGTCATTATTATCAGTAGTAGTAGCTCTATTGTAGTAGTAGTGGTAGTAATTCTAATTACATGTACTGAAAAAAGTGTTAACAACTTGTGTTATTTTTAATGCTTTTTAAGAGAATGTATTATACTATCTCAGAACAATCCAGTTCCTTACTAATGAGAAAAAAATTAACAGGAAAAACATACTTGACTTAGAAAGAAAAACTTATCAACCAGTTTCTATGAGTTAGGAAAAAGAGAAGCCACAGAGTATAATTTAAACATGTTAATATATTGCTGTGATTTCCCAGTTCTAGCTGATATTCTTATTTTAATGTGAATAAATGTGTTCTAGTGGCATGAGCCCTGGAAGTGGAATCAGTGTTGAATTTAAGATGTTTATATTTATGTGTAATTCCACCAGTTACTTGTAGCTCCAAATGCTGACAGGGGGGCCTGAAAGAAGTCACTTTATTTTTCCTGCTGAGCCTTAGTTTCATCTATTCTAAGATGGAAGTAAAAACATCTAATTTCAATTGGTACTTATGAGAAATAAGTGGAGTGACATGAAAGTGCCTTTGGTAAGCTATAAAAACATTATACAGGTGTCACTCACCTTTAAATGGAGTTACGTCTTTTTTTAAAATGAGAATTCCTGGAGGGGATATCAATATTGTCTTATTTTTATCTAATTATGCTTTTTCTGTTTCTTATACAAGGCTTTCATTCTGTGATCTGTATATTACCTGCCCTTTATCTTTTTAATATAGTTAGCTGCTTAGAGAACTAGATGCATTTTTAATTAGTGTTTGAGTTGGTAAGTTGAGTGAGGAAAATATATACATGCTTAATAAGTTCAGAATTAACAGAGCATTGTTTCCTGACTCGAAGCTTGATCTATACACATGAAATTCAACGTTCTTTAGCATTATTAACATTAGCATTTGTACTTTAAAAGATAGCACAGAGCACACTGGTTCTCGGAGATAGCATTATTATCATGTACTGTTTAGCACTGAGGAATGTAAGTAGACGTCAGTACCTGAAATGTATTTGCATAACAGTGATAGTTTGGTTATACTTAAGGCATTTACATGCTACTAGATTACTTTTCCAGCCAGCAGTCAAAAATAATGATAAAGAGGTCTCAGTTTCTGAAATACAGAACGTATTGTACATTTGATGCTTCACATCTTTGAATAAGATCTCAGTATTGATAAATATTGATGAAAATGGATTTTTCTGTTTTCAAGAAATTTTAAAAGTATAGAAAATAAGCATGTATATGCAAAAAGTGCTTAAAATACTGTATTTGTGTATACTAAAGTATTAAATACTTTCAAGTATAATAAAGTTTTAATTCCCTGTTATAACCATGAATTTTATTTAATAGGTGTTCCATTTGGTTTAAAAAATACTTCAAGTCTCAGGCCCTTAAATCTACTCCAGGTAAACCTGAAACACTGCTTTTAATTAAAATTTTTTAGCTTTTTTTAACCACATGTTTCTGTACGTAGCAGCATTTGAAATTTGAGGTTGTTCAGAATCTTCTAAGGGTGTGGTTACCTTTGCATGGTCAAGTGGAGGAGAAAGAATTGGTATCCTGTGTACTGCACTTTTATTGGCTTTAGCATTCCTGCCCAGTCAAGAGCTAGTTGTTCCGGAGGGGAGAATTGATAACTGCCAAGGAGAATAACTTGCCTACAATAGTAGCAGCAGATAGAAGATAATTCCTCTCTTAACAGACTTTTGATGTACATACATATATTGGTGTTTGCTTACAGTAGGTTTTGTGCATGAATAGACATTTTAAAAAGTAGGTATGTGTTCTTTTCCTGAGGAGAATATGACTTCTAACACAGTGCCAGGCACCTGGTAGTCATTCAAGAAATGTTTGTTAGATTACAGTTTGCATCTAATGATGAGACTTTTTTTTATACATTATTAACACGTGTTAACATATAATAAGAGACTGTAGGTGGAGAGTTTAGTACATGTTGTAAGTTTACAATATTCTGGGTGTTAAGCTTGGTCCTTTAGTTTAAAGTCCAGTATAAGCTAGTAGGTTAGAAAATAAATAGGACTACTACAGAGAATTTGTAGAAATGGTAGACATGAATATAAGGATTTGGAGACAAAATAGCAGAGCTGTATATTATTAGGAAATAACTAACAGATCAACCCAACTTGATATTCAGAAGTAATAAATCAGGAAATACATTTAGAACTAAAACTTAAAACTTATTTTCTGTATAAGACGCAAATAGTATCCATATTTACAGGCTAAGTGCAGAACAGTGTACTTGTAATATGGACACATTGGTTCAGTTTATTCAGCCACTTGCCTGCATGTTGCTGTAGGAATTTCTACAGACATGGTCTCAGTATTAGGAGTGGTATTCCTTAATAGTCCTGATAATAAGGATTAAGGGCAAAACCACCTTACAGATTAGATTTTGCTGCATTTTATGGTCTCAGTCATTGAGGAGGGACCGTTTGCCTTGTCTGTGTCCGGGCTACCTGGCAGCAAGCTGTGCTGGGCGTGGGCTTTTGCCCTGATGCCTGTTTTTGACCGTACAGACCTTAGAGTTCTGTATCTAGTATATGCTTGGACTTTCCCCCAGAACTTCAAAGTGCTTTTAACTTAAACACCTATAGAATAAAATGGGAAAACCCTTTGCTTCCTGGTGCATTTGGAGTGCATAGTTTTAGTTTTTAATATGGCGTTTTCTGAATGCTTATTTTAAGAAAGTTTGGGGTTTTTTTTTTTTCTTTAGTTAATCTAGATTCAGAATGACTGAATAAGTAATGTCCAAACTAAATATGGACATCTCATGTGTTTTCTTTTCAGCTTTGAAATTCCTGGCTAGGTTATGTAAAAAGCCAGGCATTTCTGACTTTGGGCAAAGCTAGACCAGAGTTAGGGAGATGAGTTTTCTTAATATATATCTCTGATTAGCACTAGTTTCTTGCAAATGTATAGTTCTACTAAATGCACTTAATGCTGTTTTGTGTTGCTTTATAAAAAGTTAAATAAAAGCAGTATGTATATTGGGATAGGTAACTATTAACTTGAGACAGAAAGATTTATGTTTGAGAGCCAAAGTTAATAGCACTTAAAAATTGTGTTTAAATAGATCATTCCCTCATTAAGGGCAGGGATGTTGTTTTTGATTTTTGTTTACCTCTGTTTCTTCAGTCCTTGGAAGAATGCCTGACACATAGTGAATGCCCCCAAGATATTTGTAGAATACAGAAATTTAAATCTTCTGAGATTGGCTAATTAATCTTGCTTAAATTCTTGATAGCTTCCAGGAGGTTCGCTCATTTTTAACACTCTGCAGCAGCAGCAGCAGCAGCAGCAGCAGCAGCAGCAGCAGCAGCAGCAGCAGCAGCTCCCTCAGTTTACACAACAGCAGCCTCAGCAACCCACAGCTTCTAGTCCTCAGCAGCCCGGGGAGCAGGTATGTCCTTTCTACCTTCAAAATGCTTTATTATAGAATTAGAACCTTTTTTTGTATTCCAAGCATATTTCAAGTGTTGTTTAGATTATTTAAACTTTTCACATGTTGTTTGTTTTTTTAATTAACAGTAATAGCTATGAGTTATTAGGTACCTATTTCTGATTCTCACAACAGCCATACTGAATGGATGATACCACTTCTGTCTTGCATAATACGAACTAGACTCAGTGACTGACCTGCTTACAACCATACAGTGAGTGGCAGAGCAAGGAGTCAAACCCAGGTCTCCCTGCTCCTGTAGGCCATGTGTTTTCTGTGCCACCATCAGTCATCCTTCTGTCTATAGTATTTCATTAGAATAGAGATGTTCTTATTATATTGAAGCTTAGATCAGAGGGAAGAGAGACAAAAAACAAATACCTTGTCTGTTGCCAAACAAAAATGAAATTGAATAAGAACTGCAGTAACTTAAAGTAGTAGAAGGAACTTCAGGTTTTCTAAACCTTTGCTACACTTTGGAATGCTCAGTATCACAAATTATCAGAGCCATGCAAATCAAAGCCACGGTGAGGTATCACCTCACATGGGTCAGAATGCCCATCATTAAAAAATCCACAAATGACAAATGCTGGAGAGGCTGTGGAGAAAAGGGAACCCTCCTACTGCTGGTGGGAATGCAGTTTGGTACAGCCACTATGGAAAACAGTATGGAGATTCCTTTAAAAACTAAAAACAGAGCTACTATATTATCCAACAGTCCCCTCCTTGGTGTTACCCAGAAAAGATGAAGACTCTAAATCAAAAAGATACATGCACCCCAGTATTCATAACTGGACTATTTACAATAACCAAGGAATAGAAACACCCCAAGTGCCCATCAATGGATGATGGGCTTAAGAAGATGTGGTCTACACACACAAGCATACACACAATGGAATGTTACGCAGTCATAAAAAGAATGAAATACTGCCATTTACAGCAACATGGATGGACCTAGAGAACATCAAACCAAGTGAAGTCAGACAGATAATACCACTTATATGTGGATCTAAAAAATAATACAAATGAATCTATATACAAAACAGAAATAGACATAGAAAACAAATGTATGGTTACCAAAGTGGGGGAGAGGGATAAATTAGGAGTATGAGATTAACAAACTATTATACATAAAATAGATAAGCAACAAGGATTTACTGTATAGCACAGGGCACTATATTCAGTATCTTGTAATAACCTATAATTGAAAAGAATCTGAAAAAATACATATGACTGAATTACTTTGCTGTACACCTGAAACTAACACAACATTGTAAATCAACTGTATACTTCAATTAAAAAAAATAATTCTGATGAAGCTTTATACAGCATCAAATAATAAACCAGTACAGAATCCATCCTAAAAACTCGGTTTTATTTTCTTTCTTTCAATATACTGTAATTTTTCTTGTTAATAATCCTGAATACCTTTGAAGTCTTATCCTTATGTTATTTTTACAAGACAGTTGATGTTGAATTTTTTTTTCATACAGGAAAAGGTACTAATTCTTTCTGCCTGTCCAAAGCTGTTTTTCTTTTTGTACAAGTCATGTGTTATTTTTTTATTCAGGCTGCTGAACAAAGTTCATCTAGTCAAGAACAGGCCTTACCTGCTCAGCACACTGCCGTCATTAACCTTGCTGGAGTAGGGAGTTTTATGCAGTCACAGGCAGCTGGTTGGTATCTTCATAACTAAATATGTTGAATTTACTAAAAGGGTCTAACCTGTTTGAGATCTCACCATTTCAACTATTTCTTTTCCTTCTTTTGCAAGCAGTAACAAGGAGAAAGTTCAGTTGTAATTATTGAGTGAACTATTAAGTCGATTAATTGATGGCCCTCAGATTTTTTTCACTATTGACAATTAATTAAAAGTGCTTTGACCTACATATATTAAGAGCAGTTCTATTTTCCTCATGTTAAATATTGGCAAAATTTTACACAATTATCCAACCCACCGGGAAGCTTCCAAAACTGTTAACTCTTCAGTTTTCCTGGGTTATTGAGAGCGCATTTTTCTAGATTGCATAATCTTGTCTCATTCTCATAGCTTGTAGTTGCATAAATTAAGACTTAATGGTGAAGTAGTATAACTTATGAAGCCACTTGTAAAAAAAACAAGATTATACTGAATGATTGCTCACTACTTCTAGTAGTAAATGGTGAACCAAAGATTTACCTTTAATGAAGATTATTTCATAAACTGAAGATAGCAGTTACAACTTTACATTAATTAAAATCGGTAAGCTGCAT